ATACCTATATGAATATATGTATATATATACATATATATATATATATACATACATATATATATATATACCTATATGAATATATGTATATACATATACATATATATATATATATATATATATATATACATATATATATATGTATATCTATATCTATATATATATATATATGTATGTATGTATACATGTATGTAAAAGGCATCTATATATATATACATACATACATAAAAGTCAGCTCTCCTCGACCCATTTATTTCGCTTTCCCTTTACGTTACATAATCGATTAGTATGATGTAAAAGTTGCTTGAAGATCAGGCAGAATGTATAAATAGAAAACCGTGAGTCTTGAGTTCACGCTTGATATCAACTTATAATTTCGATTGTTTTTGTTTTTTCACTTCTTCCTCTATGGGGTAAGCTAATTTGGATAGATATTTAAGTTTATTTGAATATTTGGTGAGCATATTACCCAAGGCGACGTATATAACAAGAGCATTTTTGGCCTTGAGAATCCCGACGGTTCAAGGGAAGTAACGGATCAAAAAAAAAAAAAAAAAAAAAAAAAAAAAAAAAAAAAAAAAGTGGATTATTTATCTCCCTGTGTGGATACTCATAGGGAGATAAGGGCATGAACTCCCATCTCCGATCACCCTGAATCAGCTCTCCGTGAAAGTGATTGAGCCTACATGCCAGAAGACCAGAGATGCCCCTGGAGAAAAAATGCGAGGACTGGACAGGCGTGCTTGCAACATCGGTGCCTGAGGGACCTTCAAGGCGAGAAACTCCGGACAGAGTGAAGGCGACAGTGTTCGCCCTGCTTGCACTCACACAACATCCGCGCTTGTGCGTTCTGTGTTTCCTCTGCAGGCAGGAGACATCGCCCACAAGAAGCACTGCTCGCGGAGGCCGTTGCTGGATACACACTCACTGCGATTTTATGGAGTGTTTTCCGTCTTGTTTACCCCTTTCGCTGGGTAAACTGGCACACCGAGGAGACTGGAAACTTGTCTCGTTTGCCTGTGTGCTTGAACTAAATAAAGGATATCAAAACGTTCATGTGTTATCGGTGTTTAAGCTCCGACTCTAAAAAGATATATATGGAGCTAATTCTGTGGGTTGTGAGCGCCTAAATAAGGAATACTAAGCTAATTCTTCATCAACATGGAAAATGTACAGAGTCTCTTGTTGTTCGTAACCGTACTCTTTGGTGGTGTACTATTAGTCAGCGGCGCCTACTTAGGGGGCCGGGATGAAGTGGGTCTTTTCAGCCTAACTAAGAATACTGAAAAATCAGTTACCAAGAGGAGCGTCATCACTGATAACTGTTTGACTGATAACAGAACGCAAGAGGACACAAAGCAAGACCAGGACAAGGCCAAGGTCAACAAGAACAGTGCAAACAGCGTGGTTGAAAGATCAGGTGAGAAAGCACGTTATAGTGTTGTGGGTGCGTCAGAAGTGCATATGGCTGTCAATTCCTTGAAAGAAAAGCAGTTCGTTATATTGCCAACTATTTTAACACTAAGCGGACAGCGAAGTTAATGGTTGCGCTTCTAGCCTGTGGACTGATTTTTCTCATGAAGTGTGATGACATGAGTGCTGACGGTCGCTGAAGGCCTTTTGTCCTAAACGCTGGCTTTCCTTTTATGTATATATACTTTTTGGCCTAAACTTCTTTAATAACGCAGTTTAGTATTCTAATGGTAAGATAAATTCTTTAACATCTATTTTTATCTATCAATTTCAGAGCTGAGAAGGCCATTCGTCGTATCTCCGCCCGGCCATCGTGGGAGGCGGGAAACAGCATCATCGCAATCTGTTTTTCCTCTTGATTTCCCTCTGCCGCACCGGGATGAGCCACGCCTTCTCTTACAGGACGCATCTGGCCATCCCAGTTCTTTGTCCAGTGCGGAGGAACCTGTGGGCCATAGTACAGATACTCCTGGTACTTCACCTCGTTTGGCCTCTGGCTCTCGCGACCTCTTTGCTCCCCAGCACTTCACTCCACGAGACGAGGTCACGATTTCCCCTCACCACGAAGCCCAGTTCGCGTCGGGATCGGGTGCTCGGAAGGCTCACGGGAAAAGAAGCCCCGGCCATTATATCTTCCTAGATTCCGGAGAGGCTGAGAGCGCCGAAGATCTAAGCTTCGCGGGTCGAGGGACATTCTGGTCTCAGACTCACTGGCTCTCGGTTCCTTCGCCTCCCCCTCCTTTCCCGGCGCATCCAGGGATCCCGACTTCTCCTCACGGCCTCAAATCCTCGAATGCCTTTAAACCTTTCTCGCTTCAGCCGACTCTATCCAAGGTGCCGGTATTTTCACCTGTGCCCAGTCTTCCACCTTCTCCCTTTTCACCTGTGCCCAGTCCTCCACCTTCTCCCTTTTCACCTGCGCCCAGTCCACCATCTTCTCCCTTTTCACCTGTGCCCAGTCCACCATCTTCTCCCTTTTCACCTGTGCCCAGTCATCCACCTTCTCCCTTTTCACCTGTGCCCAGTCCTCCACCTTCTCCCTTTTCACCTGTGCCCAGTCCTCCACCTTCTCCCTTTTCACCTGTGCCCAGTCAACCACCTTCTCCCTTTTTACCTGTGCCCAGTCCTCCACCTTTTCCCTTTTCACCTGTGTCCAGTCCACCATCTTCTCCCTTTTCATCTGTGCCCAGTCCTCCACCCTCTCCCTTTTCACCTGTGCCTAGTCCACCACCTCCTTTTTCACCTGTGCCCAGTCCACCGCCTCCCTTTTCACCTGTGCCCAGTCCACCACCTTCTCCCTTTTCACCTGTGCCCAGTCCTCCACCTTCTCCCTTTTCACCTGTGTCCAGTCCACCATCTTCTCCCTTTTCATCTGTGCCCAGTCCTCCACCCTCTCCCTTTTCACCTGTGCCCAGTCCACCGCCTCCCTTTTCACCTGTGCCCAGTCAACCACCTTCTCCTTTTTCACCTGTGCCCAGTCCACCACCTTTTCCTTTTTCACCTATCTCGCCACCATCACCCTCTGCTCCTTTCATACCTGTCCCAAGCGCAACACCTCACACTCCGCGGCCATCTGTAACTCTGAAAAACTTACCGGTGTTAAAACTCCCGTCTCCTGTGCCACCATCCGACCCACCATCAGGCACAACTTCTCCCGAGCCTTTCTCAGCTTCAGCTTCATTCCCACTTTCTGGAACTTCGACGATAGCTCCTCCTCACCCTGATTCCCTCCCACCAATTAATACTTCACCCTTCAGATCGCCTCTGGAATTCCCTATCGACATGCATGCTATAAGGTTCCCTCTTGATACCCCTGAGGTTCAACTCCCTGTAACTCCAATGCCCGTAGATATAGCTTCCCCTGCCACGCCCTCCCCTGCTACACCCACTTTTCCCCCCGTCGCGCCTACGTTCCCCACTGCCGAGATTACTTTTCCGCTCGTCACACCTCCTCCTCCTCTTCCTCCCGCAACACCCCCGTCTCCCCCTCTCACGCCTACCGCAACTTCTCCCACGCCCACCTCCGTCCCCGCCATCACCTCCTCTCAAGCCACACCCATCCCTTCCACTGGCGGCGGCTTAATAAACATTCGAGTGAGCATCGGGGCGCCCAACAGGCCCTGCCCGGGACCGTGCATGTTTCGGGCGGCGAAAAACGTTTGCAAGCCGGACTTCGAGTGCATGAGAAGGTCAATCGAGGTGCGGACGCGTCCAAAAAGTAGGGCGAATGCAAGCAAGAACTGATGTAACTATTACATATTTTTTAATCATATATACAAACCCCTTGTACACATGCAGACACACACACACAAGCAAACACGAATACACACGCGAAGACAAATATAGACACATATGTATATATATATATATATATATATATATATACATATATATATACAT